CTTTCCCCCCCCCCCCTTCCCCCGGTAGCAGGCCCGTAGCTAACATGGGGCCCACGGGGCCTGGCCCCCTTGTGTTTCTTCTGGGCCCCCTCCCTCCGGGGCTGCCCCCAAAGTGCTCCAATTTACCACCTGCACTGTACTTCCATTTAATTAGCTGGCGGGCCCCCCCAAGGCCCCCTCCCAAAGAATTCCCTAGCTACGGGGCTGCCCGGTAGGTTGCAAATAGTTCGGGGGACCGTCAGGGAACCAGCTAGACCACGATTGAATCTGAGCTGGGGAAACGTGAAGCGATAGGAACAGAGCCTCTGAGCATGCACAGAGAGCACACACTCATATATGTATTATACACACACAAATATGCATACACACGTGTGTATGTATGTTTTTCCACCTTGGGTGGAACTAGACAGCAGTTTTTAGAGCTTTTAAATGGTCTAGGATTCAAAAAACCCATGCCTCAACCAGTGTTCCCGCTAAGCCAAGTTAGTGTGAGCTAGCTCACAGTTTTTTAGCCTCCGGCTCACCCCATTAGCTCAGGAAGGAGGACTCCAGAGCAAACTAACTGATGCAGTGGCCAAGATGCTCGCTCACAACTTTCAGGCCAGTAGCTCACAAAGTAGATTTTTTGCTCCACAGCTTAGAGGGAGCAACAACCCCTCTCTCTAATGTACATTGAGAAGAACTTCAAGAAATCTCCTGAAATTTAAATCCTACTTTGGGGCTTGGATTCAAATCTTCCCTGACTCCCTCCTTTCTACACCAAAGAAGCAGAATTGAGCTTTGTCGATTCCGAGGATCCCTGCATCTCCTCGGCCCAGGGGGCTCAATTTTACTTCAAGAGCCATTTTGGTGTAGTGGTTAAGTGTGCGGACTCTAATCTGGGAGAACGGGTTTTGATTCCCCACTCCTCCACTTGCACCTGCTGATGTGACCTTGGGTCAGTCACAAGCTCTGGCACAGCTGTTCCTGAAAGAGCAGTTTGTGCCAGTTTGTGTCTCTCAGCCCCACCCGCTTCACAGGGTGTCTGTTGTGGGGAGGGGAAGGGAAAAGGAATTTGTAAGCCGCTCTGAGACTCCAAGTGAAGGGCGGGGTAAAAATCCAATCTCCTCTTCTCTTCTTCAAAGCAAACCAAGAACCTCAAGAAGTCCAGCAGCCCATTAAGAGACCAACAAGAATTTTAGGGTAAGAGCTTTCAAGAGTCAACGCTCCCTTCCTAAGACATTCACTGAACCTCTTCAAGAAGATAGATCTCTAAAACTGGTTGCTTCTCACACTTCACTTCTAAGCCAGTGATTCTTCTTGTGGTGGGGTCACTGCCGTAACCCAGAAATTGGGAGACGTGCTCTGTCTCCTCTCCACTGGAGATTTTTTCGATCCACGCTTCTCTTCCATCTAGGACAGAATTTCAGAACTTCACACACCTCGAGCCTGATTTTTTAAAAAACCCATTAACAGAGCAAACAGGAATCGAACCTCATATTAAGGCGTGGCTGCTAAGTGTCAGACACAAAAGAATCCCTGGTTGCCTGCCAAAGATTTAAGGATTGCATGCATAAAAATACTACAGTCATTGTATCATAAATATACTACAGTCACCTTGCCTAGAGAACTACTTTGATGTGCTTTAAAATGAACCCTGTGGCTTGGGAAAGGAGGGGGAGCATTCAATGATCGTGTTTTATATCTGTTGGGTTAAAATGCTGTAAAGGTGTACGCGCCCGTAGCAGTTAAGACACCACAATACGCCCCAAAACCAGCAATTCCTTTTTTGCACAGTGAAACACATTGACCCCACGACCCACACTGGTAGCCGAGCAGACCCGTAGCTACAGTGCGGCATCTCAGGGCTAGGCCCCCTGACTTACTGGCAGGGCCCCACGACTTCCCATTCAGCCCAGGGCCCCCAAGCAGTGGCAGTGGCAGTGGCAGGTGCAGGGAAGGAGTCGGGTATCGATTAGCCAGTGCCCCCTAAGAAATCTAAATGTCTCTCAACTTAAAAAATCCTGGCTACGGGCCTGTAGCCAAAAGATTTTTCTTTTAAATCTATGAAACCAGAGAGATAAAAAGGGATACAGCTGTGGCTATATGCAAAGCTAAGATTAGAATCCTTACTTAAGTCCACAAGGGTCACGTTAGGGTTTCACGGGGCGGCCATGTTGGTTTCTGTGAGAAGAGCTGGGTTTGAGTCACGCAGCTCTTTAGAGAGCAACAAGATTTCACGGGGTAGAAACTTTTGAGAGTCAAACCTCCCTTCGTGTGTTACGATTTGGGTGGACCACGGGTCTGACCACACAGACACCCCCCCTCCCACTCCAGTATCTTCCCCACAATGGTACAATCCCCAATCTTTTGCAGCTGGTTGAACTGTGTTTCTCTGCAGTGCTACATGATTTAGAACAAGGGTCCTGGCATTCCACCATGTGTTTTTAGAAAGTGGGCAGGCTTTGTGTATGTAACCTAAATCAAGTTGACTCGGTCCTCCATATTTTACTGTATTGTTCCCAATATGATGATATACGTTCTACTTTTTTAGACCCTATTTTATCTGATATGATAAGGCTGGCCGGATACTTTGAAGGCGCGCCATCTTCTGAATGATTAGTCACCAATGCTCCCTTTAAGCTGTGGAGAGTCTTGTGAGCAAAAATCCTACTTTGTGAGCTACTGGCATTAAAGTTGTGAGCCAGCAATTTGGCTGCTGCATAAGTTTGCTCTGGAGCCATCCTCCGAGCTGAGACAAAAATGTGTGAGCCGGAGGCTAAAAAACTGAGCTAGCTCAGACTAACTCAGCTTAGAGGGAACACTGGTTGTCACCCAAAATAACTGAAAAGGTAGCCTTATTCCTAAGTCTGGTAATCAAGGATCGATTGCATAATGTCTAGATGCATATGATTGACTCATTTTTTTTGTTACCTCCTGTTTATTGCTTCTACCTGTATTCCGATATATGCCAATATAAAGGTTATCATGAATGATGACGACGACGATTGGCTATGCAGATTTTTTAAAAATGTTGTTCCGGCAGCAGCTGCCACCACAGCACTAGGATCTTCACTGTGTGCCTGAAGGTAAACCGAGGCAGCCATTTTGTGGTTGCAGCCATCACTGTTCCAGAATTCCAAAGGTGCCCACAGGATCTATAAGGTCAGGGGCCTCCACTGATTTAGGAAGTCTCGCCAACGCCATGGGCTAATTTTCAATTTGACGAGTCACTACCCACCCCAGCCATCCTGGTGTTGAAAAATCTAACACAAAATAAACACATCTCATGAGGAAATCCATTTGTCTTTTTTAAAAGCATTATACAATTAATGCATTTATTAAGTATTAACAAATCCTACCGATGAATACATGTGAACTGCCTGGGCTGATGAGCATACCCAAGAAATGAACAATGCTAACTACCCTGTTTCCCCGAAAATAAGACCTACCCCCAAAATAAGCCCTAGCGGGATTTCTATGCATTTGTGGTATAAGCCCTAGTGTGTCTTCTTGAGAAAAAATA